CTTCTAAAAAGATGCCACTTCTGGAAATGAATACTGTGAACAAAAATTAGGATAAGGAATGAGAAAGTAGTACATGTAGTAGAAAATGCAGAGGTTTGTAGTAAGGCTGGTAGAAATGTTGCCGTTGGAAGGGTATTTAACTAAAGGCCATACCTAAATGGTTCTTATAGGCTCCTAAAGGAGACTAATGTAGAATGTGGACATCTTGGTTAAAAAAAAACTAACCAAATCAATGTCACTCCAACAGACACACAGCCACTGAGGCAACGAGAATGATTAGACTCCTCTATTAGACTAGACTTAGACTTCTGACCATGCTCAGAAGACATCGAATCAAGTACTTAGGTGCCTGTTAAGCAAATCAAGGGAAGTGATTCTTCTGTTCTATTCAGCACTGATGAGGACTCATCTGGAGTACTGTGTCCAATTTTGGGCCCCATACTTCAAGAAGGACATGGACAGTTTAGAAAGAGTCCAGTGCAGGGCAACAACAATGATCAGGGGCCTGAGAAACAAGGCCTATGAGGAAAGGCTGAAAGAGCTAGGGTTATTAGTCTAGTGAGGAAAAGAATAGGGGGTGCAGGGGAGAATTTGATAATAGTCTTCAAATATCTGAAGGCTGATTATAGAGAGGATGGAATTGGGCTTTTCTCTGTGTCCATAAGAAACAGGAACAGTAGCTTCAAGCTGAAGCAGAGGAAATTTAGGCTGGAGATTAGGAGAAACTTTCTGACTACGAGGTGCTCAAGTACTGGAACAGGCTACCTAGAGAGGTTGTAAAATCTCCATTCCTGAAAGTTTTCAAGAGCAAGTTGAACAGATACTTGGCTGGAATGTTTTAGAGATAATCCTGCCTTGAGCAGGGGTATGGACTAGATGACCTCATGAAGTCCCTTCCAGCACTACTTCCCTACAGTCCTATGACTGCAATCCAGATCAGTAAATGGAGGTACCCAAAGTCTACCCGTGCCCAAATCCATCAAGCATTCACTGAGCATGCCTAATGCTTGACTGACACTGATGGAACTGAGTTCAGAACACAGTACAGCTTTTGGACAATTGCCTAATGATCCCACGAAGTGGGAGACCAGGTTTTTAGGCCCTCCTGAGTCTGAGGGAACACGATCCCATATTTCCTACTTCCTAGAAGAATGCCCTACCCACTAGGCTGCAGAATAGTTAAGGAACACTCTCCATTCCTCCTGTTGAAGTTGGGCCAGTTGGTAGCAAAGAGTGCAAGATACAGGAGTTAGAAGAACAAGCAAAAAGGGAACCTGACTTGGTATCACAGTGAGGAGGGTGCTCCTGGAGACAGCGGAGTCCTGGGTTCCTTTCCATGCTTCCAGAGTGACCAGACGCATCCTGCACTCAGTATTTCCTGTGGACCTGCCCGGTGGTCTCTGCCTAGCACCTAGGTACTCCAGAGCAATTAAGTAGGCACCCAACTCTGCAGGGATCCAAGGTGCCTCACTCTGTCAATCTCTGCTCTGTGGACAATTTTGACTGTTGAAAAAAATACCCCAAAATTGAACATTCCACAGCCAAACAGTTCTTAGTTGAAAGCCCAAACTCCCAAAACATTGACTCTATTCCTCCCAAATTTCTATTTAGAAATGCAATACCAGCACCTCATAGAAATTGTTCTATAGCCTTGTGCCCCCATTCTTTTCTATGGGCTGAATCCCCCAGTGAAACCACACCATGAAGAATGATATCACACAACTGCGGACTCCCATGATGTAAGGCTGTGCCTCAGAGGAAAAGTATGGTTAGGGAGCCAGCCTCATAGAGCAGAACAATGGCATGAGGTGTGTGCAGTACACAACCCTGGAGGCACTAGAGTTCCACTGCCAAATCAGTCTTATGACTAAGTCACTTTTAATTAGAAAGTCTAAATTTATTCGGGGGGGAGGAAAGGTCAGGATAAGCTCCTCCCTCCAGAACATCTTTTTTTTTTCCAGGCTGGCACTAGTATGAAGCCATATAATGGTCATATAGTCATGTAATGAAAATGAACAGCAACTCCATTGTGATCTCCTAAAAATTTATGGTACTATTGACAAGAGTTCTGTTATGCACCGGGGCATAGGCAATCTGGCATAGTGGTTAGACACCCAAAGCACCAGTCCAGTCTAGGTTGGTTCCCAGAGATCTGGGTGGGGTCTGGTGTCAGAATTGGATTAGGAAGCTGTAACCAAAGTCAGGACAGGCCAGGGTCTGAAACCAAAGCTGCAGACAGAGTAAGCCAAGGTTTAACTGGGGTCAGAAACCAAAAGCCAGAGTCAAAGGCTAAGCCTGAATCAAGAGCAGAGAACTGGAATCAGGAAACGCCAAGCAGCACTGGCCCATCCTATCCTGCAGCTGCAGGGAGCCCTGCAGACAAGAGGCCATGTCCCACTTGCCCCGCTGCTGCCTGCACCATGCTGGTAAGTGTAAGCAGGCAGCTGGTAAATCTGGAAGGGGGTATGCAATAAGGAAAAGTTTGGGAACCTCTACCCTAGGGTAAGTGTCCCAATGCAGTTACTGACCCTAGTCAATGTCACTTAGCTTATTGTAAAATGACAGGATCACATCATAAAGACGGTGCCTGGAGGCCACTAATGATTTGCTCTTGGGAACACAAGTTGGCACAGGGAAGCCAACTCTGATGGAAGCTAACCCAAAGGATCACACACCAAAAAAAACCAAAACAACCCCCCCCCCCCCCCCCCAAGATAAAATCCCCTGGAGTTCAACACCATGCACAACCCACACAAGAACACAAGGGAACCAGGAAACTAAAATGATAAATCTAAGTGTCAGACTGGGGGCACCATCTTCATGAACATTGGTGGCTTGTGACAGATCAGGGAGGGGGCGGGCAGTAGAGTAGCAGATATGGTGGGGAGCAGAAAGCAGGGCACCAGATCAGACAGTGGAAGGGGATTGGAAAGGTAGTTAGGGAGGGTGCAGGGTTTAATTGGTAGCCTGCCAAAAAGGTTGACTTCCACAGACACAGGGATTCTGAGGTGTCCCGCATCCCATGACATGCCACATCAGTCATGTCTCAGACAAAATGTACGATCCGTATCAGCCCAAGCCTTGGGATTCTAGCAGACACATTGTCTAGACCCAGTACAGAAGCAATCCCCTAGTCACCTTGGGTAAAATTCCTCAAATGCTGAGGCCCAACATGAGGCCTAGATACCACATAACCCTTTCAAAATAAGTCTTAAGTTGGATATAAGCAATGGTTGAGCCTTATTTATACATCTGAAGTAAAATACCACAAGACCATGAACGCTATGAAGGTTTCCACAAAGAAGCCCTTCATCCTCATTGTGCCACACCCTCTGATTAGGATGAACTTCTCCCCTGACAGTAGGGGGTCCAAGTCTTTCTTTGTTTCCCAGGCAATGCTCCTCTGCCAGTTAGTTTGCTTGGCTGCAGGAGAGTCCACACCAACCACAGATGGCACCATGGGGAAGCATCTGCCTTGTGTCTTTCTGTGGGTTCTGTCCCAGGATCCTCAGACCATGTAGTAGCTATCAACCCCAGCCCTACTACCCTCCTGGTCTGCTTTTCCCAGGGCTGTTTCCTGTCTTCTCCCATGTCTTCTCCCCTGTCAACCCAGCCCACCCAAGATCCAATTCCAGTTCTCTCTCCTTACAGCTCTACAGCTGGTCTTTACCCAGGCCTTGGTAAGGGGACGGCTGTGCAAACTAGCTGCTGCTCTCTCCCAGGTATATCCCTTCCCACTAGGGAATGGACCCACCTTCCATTCCTTGATTTGCCCTTCCCTGCAGGACTTGGTGCAATAAGAAAGCCTGATTTCATCTGAGGTGCAGCTCACACTCTGGGGAAACAGGACATGCCTCCAAAAACCATGTGCGAATGGGAAGCCCAACCAGTTGCAAGACAGTTGCAAGGCACCTGAATCACATAACATGTTTCCTGCCAGCGCAAGTCCATCTCATCCAAGAGCCAGTATTCCCAGGATGGCAAGAGAGCTCAGCATCTGTACACTTTAACTGCCTGCCCTCTCTCTTGAGACTGCCAATCAAGCAGCCAGCTAGTGCCAATTTACAATGAGTATGAGATAAGGAACTGCACTAATGCCAACAGCTCATTCCTCATAGTCTTCTTACCAACCTGGGGATGAATTGTAATTGGTCATGACAAAGTGAAAGGCTCCATATCCTGTTAGCCATCCAGCCTTGCCACTTAGCCATCTAGCCTTGCCGCTGCCCCAAACTGCCATTAATATTAAACTTGTAACGCCTACACCAATATCCATCTTCAAATTATCCTCCCTGTAGCTTGCAGCACAAATAAAATGGAGTTGTATAAACCTTTTGCAAAACCTCAGCTTGCCCAGGAAAAGCTACCCAGACAACGGGGTGAGTGGGATTTTGCCAGACTGATTCAACCTTCAGCTTTCTTCCAATTTACCAGAAGTCAATTTTTGGTAACACATTATCTGTAGAATCTGTTTTGAAGATGCAGGTTTCCAATCTTGCATTTTGGCTTTGTGCCTGTTATAAATATCCACTCTTAAATAGCTAGCACAAGCCACACAAACAGCAAGATAGGGGAAGAAGAGAGAAAGACCATGCCTGGCTGGCTGCAAGTCATTGAACATTTATAGAAAGGGAACAGATTATTTAAGGAGGAGCATTTCCCCCAAATTTTCCCTTACATATCAATTATCACCCATTTGGCCTGAGCTGCTGACAGCAAAGAAACTCCAGGATCATCAGCCAGTTACTATTCGGATGAAGGCATCACACAGATAACTGCTTGCTCCAATCCAGAGTAACACAGTAGGGCTTTCTGCCTTTCAGAGAAGAACCCAGATGCCAACAGTAGTTGAATTAGGACAATGGTCTTCCCTGAAAAGGTGGCAATCTTCCAGTAAGAATTTCAGCAGCAACTAAACTACTAACAAGGCTATTGTTTGCATCACACAAAAGGAGGCACCTGGAGAGCAGGTGAGCTGCACAGGAGCTTTCATCTCTTACCCAGAACTTGACAAGGAAGAAGGCATTGGCTGGCCCCCTTTCGAAGAGCTCCTTCAGCCCCCCTTTCTTCTCAGGGAACTTGTCATAGATCTGCCGGATGTCCACTGCTTCGAGGTAGGGGTCATTGTAGCTGGGGCTGGACTGTCCGATGTGCACAAACAGGTGCTTGTTATACTGCAGAGAGAAGAGAGTGAGCAGTCAGGGTGCCATAGGGTGGCCCCCAGTACAGGTTTATCAAACAATGCCCTTTGTGGTAGAAAAGATGGGCCCACAACCTCTCAGCTGGGTCCCTCTAAACACTGATCACAGGGTGCATGGAGTCACACCAGGGAGCCCCCTGTGTGAAGGGCACAAGGATCACAAAGACAGCTAACATGTACAATGCATAGAAAGGAAATCTCTTAGGAAAGTAGCAGGTGATGCAGGAAGTGGCATTAGTGACTTCAGATTGCTTCCCCCACCTTTTAAAATTATTGTTCTAGTATTATGCTAAGGGATATTTTACAACTTTCTTTCAGAGGAGATGTAAAACTGGTGCCTGACTGCTTGAGACCACCAAAGACCCTATAGTACTTTTCACAAGGGTGGAGGTATTAACACTGGTATCCCAGTAAAAAACAGCTCAGGCAGCTATCTCCAGGCTACTAGGAGTACCCCCATGCCCTGTGCCTTTGATGATGTGGCATTCTTTTTCACTGAACTGGTGTGCCATATTGTTGTGCATGGCCCAAAAGGTAGAGACACATGCAGAGAATAACTGACACCAAGTCACATCGCCAATAAGCTCTGAGGCCTCCTAGCAGATGAACCACAGCCTCAAGTCACAGACCATGGTGCTGTCCTGGCAAACCAGGTGACCACTCTGACTCAGCTTTTACATCTGAGAAATCCAGCTAGCTGCAATGCCCCTCACTCACACATGCTTTCCCCTGTAGATGCAGATTACACAGGGCTTTCCAAAGCGAGGTAAGTAACATTAGCCTCATTTTACAGGTAGCATAATCAAAGCACAATGGACCAACTTCAACCCTAATGGGCCGGATCTCTGAGGGATAGGGTGTGGCTCCCCAGGGCCTTTCCCACTTCCCAATCCTGTGGGTAATCAGCAGCCTATTTTGTCTCTTGCCAAATTACTGCAAGAGCTGCACACACTAGCTGAAATGGCCCCACAAGGGCTCTTCCACCATTGCGCGATTACCTGTGTGCAATGCACTCAGGTCACAACCCCTCCTACCCTGGTACACATTGAGAATGCTCACAACACCAGGCAAAAGCAGCCAGGGGCAGAAAGTGAACATCAGTGATTCTCAGCCAAGGTACCATGGCACTTTGGGGTGTTTTAAGATCCTTTCAAGGGTGCTGTACGGTGCCACGCAGTGTTAGCATTGATGGGTACACAACCGTGATTCACAAGATAAACCCAGAGATTTCGAATATGAATCCATAGTGTTAAAAACATTCTGACCTGGTGTGGTCTTTTAGGAGTCATGCCTGGGAAATTTAGGAGGTAGTAAAAACCACACCAGTGGTTCTCAACCTTGTTAGACTGAAGGCACCCCTCACTGGACTTAAGGGACCCCTTGGAAAATGCCTGCTCTTAGTTTTTCACTCATTTTTGACAGAAAAATAATAGAGCAATTCTTCTGTTGCAAGGAACTCCAAAAGTCTGCAAGGAAATATGGAACCGTGCAGGAAACCAGGCATTTCAGTACACAGTTAAATGGTTCTCTGCATGCTGAATAGAACATCAAGCGCGAACAAAAGATACCCAGAGACCAAAAAAGCCAAGGGCAGGGAGAGTGTGGCTTGTATCTTACTGTGTCTTGGTCTTGTTGTTGTTCCAAGAATGCAGAAAATTCTAACATCCACAGTTTGGAGCTGGCAACCCTTCGTCCTTGCCATGGTGGAGCTGATGGTGACGGTGAGAGTCCAGCAGGAGACTCAAACACTGAAAGCCCAGGAATGATAACATGTTAGTAACACCTTGACATTTAAGCAGCTTTCTCCATCACCTGGGGCTAGCCAATGATAGTCTTTTTTGGACTTCAGTCCTCATGTAAAAAGAGCTTATCACAGATGCATCACTCTGTTCCACCCTGTCACAGAGCACTGAGGTGCCCTGCTCCTAAAGAGGGGAAACTGCTAGGGAGGGAGCCCTAGCAGTGACTAAGGAGCCCAGCTGTGGGTCACCAAGACAACCAGAGGAGGTCAGCTGACCAGAAGGGGCAGGGCCTGGCTCCCTTATAAACCCTAGGAGCTGAGGCCAGAGGCAGTTGACTGCCAGCAGCCAAGGGGAGAAGGAGCTCTCTGCTATGGAAGAGAAAGAAAGCCTGACTGAAGGGGCAGCGCCTGACTTGGCTGAGGGATGGAGTATTCCCTGGTAGGCTGGACTGTTGTTATGGCCGGGTGGCTTCCATTTATGCTATAGCCAAGTGGCTTACGTTTGTGTTGTTGTTTATGACTGGAGGTTTGGGTGAGGCTATCAGGGGTTGGAGGAGGCCTCATAGGGGACTCAGAGTGGAGTGTGAGGACCCCAGCACCAGTGAGAGTGCAGCATTCGGGGTGCACAGACCCTAGCCCCAGGGAAGAGGGCGCAGCCTTACTGAGGGGCCCCAGGGAAGAGGGCGCAGCCTTACTGAGGGGCCCCAGGGAAGAGGGCGCAGCCCCGGAGAGGGCACATATCAAAGAAAGGAAGGCCCAGAGAGGACAAAAAGGGGCCAGATTGTAATAAGGCTGGGACACAACGTCCGTTCCACTGGTGAGGTGTGGACTGCGGTGTAGGGTAGGAAACAGAGCCGCAGATGGCGCCTCCTGGCAGTGGGGCGGTACAAGGGCAGCCTCCCACTTATTAATTAACATCAATTAACAGCAAGGCATGGCAGGCAAGAAGGCGGGTGGTTGCCCAAGGAACAGGTGGGCAGGCCACATTTAGATCGGCCCAGAGCGGACACCTGTTACACGCCGCAATCAGCTTCTCAATAGTTTCTGCCTGAGGGATTATGCCCAGAGGTGCTGCTAAGGAATTAATCAATTTGCTATAGAGATTAATGAAAAGATTCCTACTGGGCACATCTACATATGCCCATATGGCAACATTGCTACTGCGCCATACTTTAGGGCTTCCTTTTAGTACTTCTTTTTGGAAGTACTAAAGCATGGTGCAGTGGCAGCCCGTACTGCGCCATACACTGGGCGCATGATTATTTTTAGCCACTACTTCACTGTAGTGACATGCTATAATAAGGAAGTGTGCCACTACAGTGAAGTAGCTGCTGGTCACATGTAGATGCATGCCATAGTGTGATGCTACATTGCCGTAGTGACACATGTAAACGCTCCCACTGATTTTCAAATGGAATCTGGATGTAGACTCTCTGTGAGCAGAGGAGTGAGCATCTTCATTAAATCCTCCCAATGAGGAAATGGTGCAACTGGGGCAAAAAAGCTACTTTCTGCTCTACCCCACTAGGGTAGACTAGAAGTGCAATCCATTATGGAGAAGATGGGGAGATCTAGGGGAATGGGTGCAATACTAGGACTTCAGACGTAATGGGTTTTCAAGCTGATCCAAATAAATACTTTTCAGACTTCTCTTCTCAAAAAAATGGGGAAAACAACAAAACCAAAAAACTCCACAAAGACAGGTATTTGTTTCTGGTCAAATGAAACTTTTTTCCTTTAGCCCTCCTTTCTTTCTCTCTCTCTCTCTCTAGTCTCCTGAGGGCCTATAGCCACCTTAACTAAAGCCTTTCATCTCCTCCTTTCCTACTCAATCTCCTTCCATCTTGTCTTTCCAATTTTTATGTTATCCTCTCATTGTTGTCCTGGTGTGCCTCCTCACCTCCTTTAACCTTAAATTAAACATTTTGCTTTTGGTTTAAACTTTCTTTTTTTTATCCTCTCAAAGTGTTAACAACAGTTAGAAATGAAAACCTCACTTTAAAACAAAAATTGAAACATTTTGTTTGGAAACTCTTCAATTAAAATATTCTGACTCTTTGGATTTCTTTATGGCCCAAACTATTTGTTGACTTTGCTGATGGTTTTGGTTGTCAAAAAACTCACTCGGTTCCAATTACGAGCTTATTACTGTCTCTGCCACTGCTTCATAATGTTGCATTAACATTTCTTTGCTTCAGCTAACAGGAACGGAATATCCCAATCCCTTGGGTGGCTTTAAAAAACTCAACCTAATTTCCCAATAACTCTATCTGTGGGCAGGGATGTTCTCTGTCATTTTGTTTCTCAGAGTTGCTGCAACCTGTCTTGTAGGAAACGTACATACCGGGCTCTCTCATGGAAACTTTTTTTGTTCTTCCTCGTTTGTTTTTCCCTTAATCTCAAATGGTATGATTCAGAATGAAGTGAAGCATGCTTTTAGTTTGTCAAAGACATAGCCATGGAACCCAACAAAACTTACAAGGACAGATATGTAAGAGCAGACTCAAATGAATGTGTGGAGTTGTGAGGTGACACACATGGTTGCCTTTACTGACTAAATGTTGGTGGCTCCTCCTAACTTTTGTCATTTCTCAGATCCTTGTGGTAGACTAGACCTTGCCTGTTTTAACTGGAAGGAATGTAGCACTCGACAGTGACAGCAAGAGAATTTTGATTTTTTTTTTTTTTTTTCTCCCCCCCCCATAGAGACAGGATGTGCATGTGCTGTACAAGGAATTGCCTCTTTCCATTTACCTGGTAATGGGAGTGGAGGTTGAACAGCATAGGGTTGCTGAGAAAATGGCTTCACGCTGCAGGAATGATATATGAGAGTTAATAAAAACATGAAAATCGAAGCACTTCATTTAGTTTTGAGCAAGTTAAGTGAATGGCCCAAACTCAGGTGTCTATAGGTGGAAGAGGTTTTAAGGATGTACCTACACATGATGCAAGGAGGTATCAGGCAGCAAAGGGACCCCAGTAGGATATGTGTACTAATGAGACTCACCCATGGGGCACCCTTCAAGCTCACCTCAAATTTTCTGTCTGAAGATCAGACAGCTGTAGCTGGCTCGTTATGAAGCCTCCCTCAAAGTACAAGCCCTTTTTTTAATACTACCTCATCCACAAACATGTGTGCCAACGTGTAGCATGTGAGTAAAGTCAGCAAAACGAGCTTCTCTATGTGTTGTACTCCCCAGGACCCCTGCCAGATGGTGTATGCTTTATGCACCTCTCTGTAGGGACAGATTTTCAGAAACCCTCAAAAGTCTCAACAGGACTAGGGGTTTCAAGATCGTTCAGGTGATGTCTTCAGGTTCCCTCAGCCTGGCTCTCATCCAATAATTGAAGTACAAGGACATCTATGGGGGTATAAAACTGAGAAGCCAAGAGTAGACATAAGCTGAAGATAAAAGGGGAGGCTTATTTAGATGTATACATACTTACAAGTGCTTATTTGTGCCTTTACTAGCTACATTCTCCTGACTGCTCACTGTAGGCCTAATCATGCCCAATGTGAATTTATTGCAGGAATAAATAGGGTGCACGTGGAATTTCTGAGTTGATGTGTAGAAGCTGGGTGTAAGGTGCACGTTGATTAGAAGCATGGAGTATCTGCCTTTCTGAGAACCAGCAGCTGATGACCTTAAGACTTCTTTAACCCTGAGTAACAGAAGGTATTTCCCAGACTAGGGGAAGCATCCATCCCACCACTGGAAGCAACTGTGTAAACGCTCAAGTATGGGAGTACTCACTCTTGAGAGGGTCCAGCTTGGCCAGGCAAAGCTCCTTGCCAAAACTGCAAAACCAAAGTACAGACAGTCACCAACCTGAGGCTACAGAAAACTAGGGTTTATGATGGCCTTGTACATCTACATTTGTAGGGCAGTTCTATGGGTTTGCTGGTGTTAGAGGCAAATGATGACAAACCACAAGTCTGTAACGATGGCCAAGGAAGCCTGTATCCTCCTGCAGTGGTTCAGATAGGTCTTGGAAGAGCTAAACCAGAAAGGGCAAATAATTAAAGCCAGTATTTTCAAAAGTGACCACTTGAAATGAAAGCCTCCATTTTCAGTCTGAAATGCATCTCAGGATGGACACTTGAAACCAGAGGTGCCCATAAAAATCAGCAACCACTATGGAAAACTAGGCAAAACATAATGAGCCTGTGGGGCAGGAGAGTACCAGGGGGTGGCTTGCCTTACAGGGATGGCTCCATGCCCATCTCTGGCTCTCCTACCAGGGTAGAGTCAGGAAGGGAGAAACGGTAAGACAGAGTGGGGGTCTAGGTGAAGGCTCACAGTGCACAAGCAGCAGCCTTGTGGGTTGGGGAAAGGGTGGCAGAAGCAGCTGGGAAGGTGAGGGGGTAAGGTGGCAAGGTATAGGGTTGTGCACAGTGTGCAGAGTTCAACCACTCTGCCTCCTCCTTATCTATAAAGGTCAATTCCTGATCTCTACAGGGCTGCAGTACAAATGGCAGCACAAAAAAAGAAAAAAATAGTAGGTAGCAGTCATGACATTCAAGTGACTGAGCTAGCAGCTTTATATCATGGGTGGGCAATTTATTTCAGCTGGAGGGACAATTAATGAGTTTTAGTAAGCTGTCGAGGGCCGCATGGGTAGCCCCACCCCTTGACAGTTGCCCCACCCCTTGTTACCATCTTGCGAATGGAAGTCCCACCCCTCACCCCTGACCTTTGCCACCATAAGTCCTTCCCTTTAGCCCACAGAAATACTTCTTTTGGGAGGAAAGTTGCCATCTTGGAACCAGAAAAACCAAGTCGTACACTAAAAGTCAAACACCTACTATGTTATATTTTATTACAAAAAATATTTTTGTCATTATTTCTGTTTGCATACTGTATATTAAGGTTTTTGCATAATAACTCAAAAATAAAGTCTTATTTTTGTATATTGTGGAGGGAGGGTGTATATGGTAGGGCGTGCATGTGATGTGTGGGGGGGTTGTGACAGGGTGTGGCTGTGTGGGGGGGCATAAGGTATGTTGGGGAGTTGTGTATATGGGGGGAGTTGTGGGAGCAGGGTGTGGATGTGAAGGAGGTTTGGGGGGGGATTCCCTCCCTCCCCCCCATCCCCCATGGTGCAGCAGCAGGCAGGGCATGCAGGGTGCAGGTGCCCAGCAGGGCACAGCTCTGGCCAGCACCGCACATTGTAGTGAGGGCTATAGCCTCCACGCAGCTACCTGTATTGCCAGTGCTCCCTGTCACTCATGCACAGCCCCTGCTCTTGCACAGCAAGGAGGGAAGCCCCATGTGCTGGAGCCAGGTGCCTTCCCTGCTGGGGCTGTGCAGCACAGGAGAGAAGCCTCAGGCATTGGAGCCCACTGCCTTCCCTGTCCCACAGGGAAAGGTGCCTGGGGCTTCCCTGCACTGCAGTGAAGTTGCTGTGGGGAAGGCAGCTAGCTCCAGAGCCCGAAGCTGCTCTCTGATGCTGTGCAGCCCCAGCAGGGAAGGCACCTGGCTCCAGCA